TTTGTACATTCATTTTCTACAACCACTTGTCCTATTCAGTGTCGTGGGGGAGGGAGCAAAACATATGGGGTCATGCCACTATATAGCTGTATATGAATGCTATGACAATAAAGCCAACCTGACACATACTGTACTGCATGCATGTATAATACTTTGATGCTGACCTGACATACATCTTCAGAGAAATTGTATCACTTCATATAACTTTTTGTCTTTTTTTCCAGGGAAATGATGATATTTATATTTGCATTTACAATCAAGGACAAGTTCAAGTGCAACGTGCCCATTCCACAGGAATGAAAACCCCAGATATCATAGCCCAGGTACTGTAGTCATATTATTCCTACTTATTCTGCTTTTTGACAGTCTGAAGTAGAACTAACAGCTAGATAATCAGAACTGTGTTTGACTTCTTAAGTGGTTCCACTGAATATGTATTAATAGTGGGTTTGCCAATAATATAAATGGTAAATATTAGGGCTGTCAAAATTAATGGGTTAACGCGGATAAATCCATCATCATGATTAATCTGATTAAAATTTTAATGCAATTAACCCATCTGCAGCGCAGAATGACTCAAAATCCCTGAAATGTCTCTGTCAACCCATTTTGGGCTGTTTTGGTGCGTTCCATTTGCCCTCGGAACTCGTATTTCGAGTCGGATTCCGAGTTTTGAAGCCGGAAGTGACGACATGTGCACTCCCGTTTCTTGGAGATCCGAGAAATATCTCGGAGCAGCACAGAAGACCCCGAGTTCAGAATCCAAGATGGCTGTACCCTTTATCAACATTATAGGCTATTCCCTTTTTTCTTGAGTCTGTTTGCTCATGCAAAATGAAATGCGATTAATATAGATAAAAAAAATGAAAGATATTTAGTCGTGATTAATCTAAATTAATCAACAGCAACCCTGTAATTAATCTGATAAAAAAATTGTTCTCGTTTGACAGCACTATAATCCTTGTGCCAATAATACCCATTAATTAATGCACTGTGCATGTTTTCAATGAAACCATTCATTCATTTTAAAATGTTATTTAATACTAATTTAATAGCACCACCTGCTATGTATAAAATACTTTTGTAAAAAAAAAAAATGTGATTTTTAGTACAAATGAAAATTAATTGTTTTTTATATCTCTGCACAGAACATTTCTGACATAAGCGTGTCTTATGCCAATGGAGTCATCAGCTGCACCTTTACTTCCCACGACCCCATCTCCTTTTATAGAAGCTCCACACCGACCACCTCCTCCTATCTCTTCTACGCCTATGGACCCGTTAGCGGTAGACATCAACTTCAGCAGCATATTTACTTCAGTGATTGGTTTTGTTGTGATTTCTTATGTGCAGTTTCCTCTCATTTCTCATTTTGGTCCATTGATCTCAGGAGGCTTAATCCAGCACCATAAAGATAAATTCACAAGAAAAGGCAGAGTTCAGCTTACACCGTCTGTTACGGGGACAGTGGATGATCTTCGTCCTGCCAAAGCACACGGTAATTTTATTTTTTTCAAAAATGGCTTTTTTTATTCATTATTGGTCATCAGAAATAGCAATAAGCTACTACTTAGTAATTATTATTCATTAATAATAATTAGTAATATTATTCATTAATTGTAATTAGTATACTATCCATGTATTCCTGCATCCAGATTTGCATGATGACAAGAGCAGAGGAAATGACCGTACCATGAAACGCTTGTGTAAATGTCTAATGTTGTTTTACCTNGGACCCGTTAGCGGTAGACATCAACTTCAGCAGCATATTTACTTCAGTGATTGTTTTTGTTGTGATTTCTTACGTGCAGTTTCCTCTCATTTCTCATTTTGGTCCATTGATCTCAGGAGGCTTAATCCAGCAACATATAAATACGTTCACAAGTAAAAACACAGTTCAGCTTACACCTTCTGTTACGGGGACAGTGGATGATCCTCGTCCTGCCAAAGCACACGGTAATTTTTTTTTCTTAATTGGCATTTTTTAATTCATTATTGGTAATCAGTAATAGCAAGTATGCATTCACCTTTAAAAGCGATACGTGCAGCAATCGATTATTGTAATGGTGAAAATGCGTGTATGTACTTTATGTGCATTTGCGCTGATATGACAAGAAATTATCATGCATTGCTGCTGCGGGTGGCTGCCCTTTGTGGGCAATTTACTGTACAAAGAGCAAGTTGAGGGAGGTGCAAAAGACAATTTCCCCATGGGTGACAATAAAGTATCAATTATTATTAGGGGCGCACCGAATTTTCTTGGCCGATCCCGATTACCGATGCTGGCTCATAGATGGCTACGAACATGCTTTGCTAACAGCTTTCGCTTTGCTAACTTCTTCAAACTGAGCGTGCTCACTGGGGTGATGTGTTCTTAAATGTCTAATTAAATTTGTTGTGCTAAATGTCTTTGTATTGGTTCACCCACAGTGTACCTGGTCCTTTTACTTGCTGCAGATAGCAAATTTAGCGTCCACTTGGTTCACGCTAAAGAATTTTCGAATTACAAACATTTTTGCGTGTCTGAAAGTGCGCGTGACTGCGCATATGATTTATTGCACATGCGCAATATCGTTTCGTAATCAGAAATGCGTGAGACTGATCGGCCGGTCGATCTGTGCATCGTTAATTATTATTATTAAAATACCTGATAATTTCTTGTCATATCAGCACAAATGCACATAAGTACGCATTTCCGCCGTTACAACAATCGATTGCCGCACATATCACTTTTAAAGGTGAACGCGTATGTACGTACCAGTTATGTCCACCCCTGCATATATATATATCTAATGTCACCCTGAGCCCCCTCCGTACATTTTCTACATTTTGTCCAGCTGGACACCCCTGACAGTAGATTCTGGGGCCCCAATTCAGTGCTGGGTCCCCTGAGTCTCCCAAGGTATCCACGTTCCTGCAACAACCCTGTAAATATTCAATAATGATTGGAATTTTTCCCTTATAGGTTCATTAATGCTGATAGCTTGGATGACAACTGGGAGTCTGGGCATGATCATTGCAAGATACCTTAAAAGAGCCACCAAAGGGAGAGGCTGCTGGAACAAAGACCTTTGGTTTTTGGTAAGTTACTTTCTGTGTTTTAACAGACCCTGCCTCCAGCTCTCTGGGTGTACAGGTGTTACTAGGCTGGGGAATAAGGGGCTGAAGCCCTAAATTAATTGTTTAGCTCAGATGTTATAACAAGCATGCTCTCAGTTTGTGGGATGTCTTAAGATCTTAGCAACGCACCTGAATATTGCAAGGGTTTCTTCAGGGTCGCCCCACAATCCAGTGACATACAGTTCAGGCAAACTGGTGTCTTTAACTTGCGCCCTGCAACGGACTGGTCAATGTGCATCTCCTCCAGGGAGGCCCACAGGATGGACCATCAGGCTCACATTGACCTTGGACTGGATAAGGGAGATGGGTGGATTTGATTATGCAGAGGTGGAAAGTTCAGGTCCAGAAAGTACAAATCCAGACCAAGGTTTTGTATAAACCAACCAATTGAGTACACGGTGAGTGTGACTCTTTATACTCAACTGGTTGGTTTGAACAAAACCTTGGTTTGGATTTGTACTTTCTGGACCTGAACTTTCCACCTCTATGGTTATGTAATATATTCATCCATCTATTCATCCATCCCCCCATTTGTTTGTTTAACATGCTCTGGATAGGTTTATGGTGGTAACAAACCACAAAAGCTGGATTTTTACCATAGAAATATAGCTGTGGATATCCAGGGTGCAGCGACATGTACCCTCCAGTCTTTTGAACTTGTTACACACCAGATTACAAACTTCACTTATGGAGCACTAAGTGACAATGAAAACCAGTGTCTTTGACATGTATATATTCACACCTCAGAGATGTCGTCATTACTCTGACTCAAGTCATGGTCCATTTAGTGTTATTTAATGTCAAACCCCATGTGACACTGTACTGTCTTATACCCTCCCCAGGCACATGTGGGCCTTTTGTCCTTGTCTTACATTGCTACCATCATTGCCTTTATCTTGATCTTTGCAAATGCAGGGGACTGGTTTGACGTGAGTATGACTTGTGACTTTTGCTAGTCACGTATAATGATATGCTGAGAAAAGCCTTTATTTTCTTTGAGTTGGCAGTTGTGCAGCACAGTAAATAAGATGTTTTTCTTTCTTGCAATTTGGAGACAATTTACTGTGAATTTCCAAATAATCTTGGTGCAGAAGAATGAGGCCACCACATATGATAATGACTCTTGTTAATACTAAAAATAAAATGCATGTGCTACATTTAAACTCTTCCATTGCTATTATAAGATGCACTTGCTGCCTTTAATCTGTGTTTGTATTCTTAATAGAAATTAGTACTATTGTGCATAGTAGGAAACACATTATCTACTGATCATTGTCTTGTGTTCTTTATGTTTTCTATTTCCAGAACCCACATTCAGTTCTGGGCTGTTTAGTTATGATTCTGACCTTCTTCCAACCAATTGTGGCTATTTTCCGATGCCAGCCCAGTCACAAGTGGTGAGTGGATGTTAATATTAATTTTTATATTATTGTTGTATATTATTATACAGACCCAGTAGGATAAGCGAGTTGGAAAATGGATGGATGAATGGATTATTACACAGTACTTTTCAAGTACAGCACTGTGTCTTAGGCAGCCAAAGGAAAAGTTTAAAGCTATTTATCTGAGTAGTAGGAGTGTTTGTGCTCAGAACAAAAAACACAATTTAACAATACTGGAGTGACTTCAGGAGAGGTTTTGAAATGGCAAAGCTGACTCAGTTTTGCACCAACATGAAGATCATTTGAACTTTACTTTTTCAGACTGCCTAAAACTTTTGCACAGTGCTGTGTATTAATGAAATATAAAGGTATTTATAGTGTGTTACAGGTGAGAGCTTCATAAGCTCATAATGCATAATACACATGGGTATAATGTTATGCCTTATAATAGCCTAAGTATTTATAACTACAGTATGTTAAGTAAAGTGTTACCAAATTCCAGCCTGTTATTTCACAACATCTTCCATTTGATGTTTATCACAGGAGGTACATTTTCAACTGGATACATGCTTTGAATGGTCTGACAATTAAAGGCTTGGCAGGTAAAAAAAATGTATAAAATGTTCCTGGCTATTTAATGCATGTCAGCTATTCAATGGAAAATAAGCATGACGTAGGTGAAAGCTTTCACTGGAAAATTACAATGATTGCACAATATTACTGCTGCTGTTGAAGGTCCATTACAAAAAGCTTTTCGAAAGGCTGGTACAGCAATGGGTTCATGAAAATTTCACAAAGGACCAACATATGGGCTAAAGTTTTCTAAGTAATGTGATTTTGAAATGTGATTTTCCTGACACCTGAAATTCTACTGGTAAACTGGGCCTGCCTCACCCTTGGCCCTGTGACGTCACTCCTTCCCCTCCCTTGGCCCTGTGACGTCACTTCTGCACGCACTGCTGTTGAACCACAATGTTCATCCTACCATCAGAAGCAGCACCAGCACTTGTGTGCCATTACCTGCCTGCCCCCCACTTTAAGAATCAAATTTTAAAATTTCGACTGGGTAAATTATTGGGATGTAACAATACCAAAAACTCACAGTACGATAATATTGTGATAAAAGGTTCACAATATGATAATTATCACGATATTAAAAAAGAAAAACTCTATAATAATTAATAATTATACTCTATAATAATTATAATAATTAATAACCAGCATATTTATTTATATCTAATTAGTTCTTCCTTTTAACATAAAGTGCTTCTGCTTTTCTTCATTAGTGAAATATCCAGCTATGACCTTAAGCATTTGCCAGAACTTAGCAGTAATTGTCCTGTGCAATGAATGACTGAACGATGCATGTAATTATAAAATAAAAACAAGTAGTCAGTAGTTCCTTTATAAAATATTAATTATTACTGCAGCAGTTGGATCTTTTAATCAAAACACAATCTGTAATTCCGGATTAGTGCTTTCTGCCATGTTTTCACCGCGTGAAATGTAGGCCACGCCCATACATACTAACACGCTAAATAACGCGTGAAAACAGTGCACATGTAACACATATAAGCCTATTTTGGACCCACTTGGTGCTACTGGCCAGTTCTAGGTTCGATGGGAGTGGTGGGGGAAAAGATAATGATACCTCAAAATTTAGAAAAGCAACCTTTTAGTAAATATTAATTGTATAACATGAAGAATCGTGAATACATTTATATACATTTACATTTAAATGGGGAAAAAGTAAGTCTACCTCTTTATAAAGTACGGATTTAAATATTGTTTGCGTTGGGTTGCCTTGAGTCCATGTGGATAAATCAGTTATTCCTAGTTAATCCTAAATCTAAATCTAGTTATATCCTAGTTCAGTTTTGCCTATTTTTGACTGCGCACAGATTGTATAAAATAATTATTTTGTATCTGTTTATAATCATCTAATAAGTCCGTATTTAAATTCTCTAAATTCTCTTTAGCACCTATTTATCTTTCCTTTTAATCGGTAACCTCCCCCCACACATCAAACTCAAAATTCAACACGTATAAAGGAAATAAACAAAATCACATCGTATACCATTCAGGCATAACAGTATCCAAAGGTTAATATGTCGTTCAATTCAGGCATAACAATGTCCAAAGGTTAATATACAGTTCAATTCAGTAAGAAATTCCCTCTACTCATCCTTCACCGTTGCTCCATGGGTCCAGCTCGCCACCCTGCTATGAACTCCGTTTGGTGGGTCCCTGTTCAGCGAAGCACTTGCAGGAATATCCATTCCAAATCTTCAACAGTGTCAATGTAGCGCAGAAAAAAAAAAACAATTTATCGCTATACAAATAAAATCGAATTGGATTGATTTGAAATGAGAAAAATTAGTTTAGTGCTGAATCGTGCTCTCTTGTTTTCAGTGGGTGCCATATTTACTGGCCTACAAGTGGTGGACACATCGTCAAACCAGTGGCTCCCCAAAGTGATGGGAGGCTTTGTTGGCTGGGAGGCTTTGTTCTTCCTGCTCTTTGACTTCTATGCTCAGTGGAGCAAAAACACTGGGCCAGAAGGTAACATGAAAAATCAAAAGCACAAAAAAATGTAAGACATAACAATGACATTTTGAGGTGATGTACATTCTGTAACATTGTGTTTCCGTGATTTTGTCGTCTCACAGTATATGAAGACATTTCAAGTTTGGTAAGCTGAAGTCCATCCATTTATCCATCTTTTCATTGTTCACAAGCGCCTGGACATTCCTGAATTTACTTGCTACCAAACCTGGTTTTCTTTTTACTTAAATGAGCATGCAATAAATCACCAGGCCAGAGAACTCTAACATTTTTCCTTTGTAATTTCTTCCACACAGGTACCTTTAGAAGTGATACTTCTGATTCTTTTCTTCCTCGGAAACATTACATTTTTGATCACCCTTCTGTGTGGAATCGGTCTGTCATGAAATCTCCAGAAACAAGGAATACATCTATGACTAAAAGGAAAAGAGAAAGAATACTTTTTTGGTACTCCCCAACAGGAGGACTGGTTATGTATGAGAGAGAAATCTTCAGGGAATTTCATCATCCATCCATCCATCCATCCATCCCTCTTCTATATTTATTTGAGCATGTCACACAGTAGCACGTATAGCACATTCTAATTTTATTTTGTTTTGAAACAGTGTTTTTAAAATACAGCAAAATACAGACAAAAGATAAAAGTTGCCACAACACTTAAGCTGAGATTCTGAGGTTTAATCCTGGTTCTGCTGGCAGAAGGCTACACTGAGCAGCAGGCTGCTTCCAGGCCCAAAATTTCTGAAACAGCAGTACACAAGAAAAAGTTGAAGCATGAGACACTGTGAACGACCAAAAACCAGCCAGGTAGAGGGCAGAAGCAACTTTCTAATACTAGAGATGACTGTCAACTTATCCGACAGTTTATCATGAATCGGAGGATGACCTCAATGACTTTCAAAAGCAATGGGAAACATTAAGCGCAGATGTGAAGTCCATTGCTAGGACAGTTCGTATCAGGCTCCTAGAAGCAGGACTGAAATCCTTTAAAGCAAGGAAGAAGCCCTTTATCTATTAGAAGCAGAAAAAATGAGAGGTTATATATTTTACACAGATGCATAACCATAAATTGAGAAATGAGTGAAACTAAAATTTTGCCAGAAGTCTCATATTTTGTTTGGTTACTTATGGTTAAGGTTAGGGCTGGGAAGGGGTTAAGGTCGTCATATTGTGATTAGAGTTTTTCCTATAGAAGTGAATGGAGAATCCTCACAAAGATATAATTACAGTACAAACCTCTGTGTATGTATGTATATATCCAACTATGTATTTTGTTTGGAACCATATTTCTTGTCTTGGAAGGCATGCTGGAAGAAAGGCTACATAATCTATTAAGCTATTTGTGAAGCTTAATGTAACTTTATATTAAGTTCACCATTTTTCTTAGGGATAGTAGTTGATGTTTGATTATTTCAGGCATAACCTCAACTGTAACCTTTATTTTAAATTTGATACATTATCAGTACTAAACTACACCTGCTGTTACATTTCACTCTGACTGTGATGGTTTTTCAAATAATTATAACAAACTCTGATTACTGCATTTATAATGGTAGCAACTTCATGTATGACATTTTGGATTTGGATTTATTGAAACAGTAGAATTACGTTCAAAGTATAAATCATTGTATTTTTTAAATATAAATATATGATGCAACTGAACAATGTAACCTTATTCAATGTAATTTTGTTACAATTTTAATATTTTTGACATTGTTATTAACACATAAATAAAGTATTTATTTAAAATAAACTATTGTTCATCAGATTGTCAAGTTACCTCTCACCAAATTTCTTTAAGGTTGTTTTGCAGGCAACCCTTGTTTAGAAATAATTAATTTAAAATAATTTTTAAATAATTATAATTACATTAAGGTATTACACAATTAAGGACATGTATCTGTTTGAAATGATACTGCTGTGGTAGTTTACAATACGTTTTAGTGGGCGGTGGATGGCCCAGATATACTGAGACACACTGCCATCTACAGTGATTAAGTGGTTTCTGCAGTTGTGTATAGCAGACTATACAGGTACTTAGCTTTAAAAGGATGCTGGAACTTAATTACAGCTGCGCAATTTTCACCACATTTTTGTAAGAAAGGCTTAAAAAACATATTTGAAAAGACATAATTTTGTGCACTGCAGATCATGGTTTTGAGTAAATGATGTAATATGTCTTTAATCAGAATAAGCACATGTAAATATATAAGATAAATTACAGTTCATATATTCTTAGCTATATTCTTTTTCAGCGTTCTTCATACATATTCATTTTTTACAGTGTAATTGTCACATCCTGCCCGCCACATCTGCCTGACCCTTCTATCTCCTCCCTGAAGTGGCCCTAACAAGCCACGCCTAGTGTTATGACCTGCTCGTTCGGTCCTCACGTGTGCCACGCCCCCTCATTTACCTTGTGTGAATTCCTGATTGTTATCATCTGTCTCTTATTATTTCGACTTGTCCTGTGTATTTAAGTCCCCGTTAGAGTCTGTATCCCCAGTTCCATCATTAACGTCTCGATCGTATTGTGCCCTATTTGCCCTAATAAATCCCGTTCCCTGGACTTTCGTGTCTGGACCCTGATTCTCCGCTCCCTGCTCGTCTGACCGATCACGACACCTAGTGCTCATTTGTCTTACCTCTCGGTCGTTTCCCTTGTATTAATCACTCCCAGCTGCCTCTTGTTTGCGCCCTCATTAGCCATGTATTTAAGTCTTGTGTTTCTCCATTTTGTCATTGACGTCATAACCTTGTGTAGCCTTTGCCTTGCCTTTCTCCTTTCCACCCATTTAAATCTCATGAGATCCAGTTGGTTTTTGTTTGTGTCCTTTTAAGTTTAATAATATTGCTTTTAGTTATTTACCATGCTTACTCCCGCATCCCTCATTCCTCCAGAATGACAATAATATTTAAACTCAAAGTCATTATGATGGAACTCATAAGGAAATCACACTGCATTATGTCAGACCAGGCTTCCAGGTTTTGCTCCATCCTGTAGACTGGATTCCACGTGTTCTCAGGATCTGAAGACTGGCAAGATCTCCCAAGCTGTGTGTTCCACCGCAGCTGCCTAGCCTGCAAGCAGAGGATATCTTCACCCTCATGGATCAGTACCTACCATGGAGATACAACCCCACTCTATGGAAAATGCCAGAAGCTTGCGCACCTTTCCTGCGGGTGGAAAAGATTTTGGCAAGGCTTACTCTTCACATGGATTCTCAGGAGGTATAGAAGGTCCGGCGGTGTATGGGGGAGGTGGAATGAGCAGCACAGCCCACCAAAGATTTGCCTGCTGACCTCCCGAAGCCCATCATGGATGATCCCACAGCTTGCAGTGGTTGAACGTGCTGAACTCACAGCTCCTCCTACCATATGCAGTCACATGGGAAGGAGATGGAAGAAGCTAGCAGTGCCCATAGCAGTTCCTCTGCCTGACCCAGTGCCTTGAGTCCTTCTCAGAATCCAGGCCTAGAGAGGCCACACAGGACGCTCCCAGCTCTCTAGGCTCGTCCCCTGATGAGGCCACTGCTCGTCCTGAGCCTCCAGAGGCTGGGTCAGGAAGGGCCGCTCTACATCTCCATCTCCATTATTTCCATAGTTATGTCCTTAGCTATGGTGCTGATAACATACCATACCGATATTTAAACATCAGTATTCAAAGTTATCTGATAATATGCTTCGGTATGTAACGTTTGTCCCATCTTCATCGACAATATGTAATGCAAAATAAGAGAAATAGGCCTATATTGTTCAATAATCATACAAGAATATCGTGATCTCAAATCTGAGGGGAAATAAACAGCTACAGGTGCATCATCCATGTCTGGACCCATATGAGAACCAGTTGAGAAAGGAAATTATACGGAAGATGAAGATCAAAACACTGATGTTAAGCATACCCACTTACGAAAGGTCAAAGCAGGTGGATGGTGCAGATCAAACTGTCACTGTGGTTGTTGGTATTGGACAATTGGAGACTGTGGTGTTTTTTTTTTTTTTTTTTTTAAACCTTTATGGTCAGGCTGAGGCAAATTTTAACTTTATCCAGGGATATTTGAGAATATTACAAATATTTTAAAGTTAGTAATACTGCCTACTATAACTATAAATCAATAATATTATACTGACTTAATTTAAATATTATTGTCGTGTCCAGAGGGATGAAGGACGCAGGAGCAAGCTTGGTAAATAACTAAAGTGGGTTTTATTAAACTCAAAAGGAGACAAGCAAAAACAAACAGGATCTCAGGGGATTTAAATGGGTGGATCTGAGGAATGCTAAGCACAGCCTACATGAGGTTACGACTTCAATGACGGAACTGGGATATACAAGACTGGGAAGCATTTATATATATGACTAATGAGGTAACAAACAAGAGGCGGCTGGAAGTGATTAATTACAGCCAGCTTAGGAAAGTTTATTCTGTAAGTGCTACAAAATCTGCAGCTAAATCACACAGGGCCAGTGTCTGGTTCAGTGCTTAATTTAAATCAGGACTAGGTTAATTGTACTTAAACTCATCCATGCTGAACAAATATATTTATTAAATAGTGGCGTTGCAACCAGAAACCAAGGGAGTCGAGGGTAGGTGTTGAGAGAACAGAAAATGGCTTTATTGAAAACAAACAGGAGCAAGGAAACAAATCAGACTGCGAGGGGTCAAAAACAGAGAATGCTCGTGCGGGGAAGGACTTGGCCACACAAGCAGACTGATGTTAATGACTGGACTCAGGAACACTTCAAATTACTGGACTCGGGAACAAACAATTCAGACTGCAAACAAGAGGCAGCTGGGAGTGATTAAAACGAGGCAGGAACAAGAAGTAAGACAATGGCATAAGCGGCATGGCTCTGGATGGTCAGGGAAGGTAGAATGGTCAGGTGGATGTGGCAGGCAGGACATGACAAGCAGTTACTTGTAGTCATGACGTTTTATTTATTTTTTTCCTTCACTCACATGAAGCATTTTCCCAGAAAACTGCTGAGGGACCAACAAGAAATTGTTGATTTTTTTGTTGTTACTTGATACATGATCCCCGAGGATCAGTTGCTAAGGGCAGGGTTCTGTAACTCACCTGATTGAAAAACAATTCCTGTGGCACCTTCTGCCTTCCTATCATCAAGTGGGGGTGGAGACTCACAGATTCTCCAAAAACACAAAGATTGTCCTTGTGCCAGCACAGTACTTTCTGTGTGTTTGTGAATCAGAGGTAAGCAACTGCTCTTACATTTACTATGAGGAGGAAAAAAACAAAGATATCATTATGGATAATGGGGTCAATGGAAAGAGAATTTAAATTAATTGTTTAAGAAAATTCAATTTAAGAAAAGTTAAGGAATTGTTTTTATTTTCAGTTGCTACAGTTATACAATATTTACCTTTAGTTTCTGATAAAAAGATTACTCTGTAAATCTTAAAAAAGAAATCCATGTTTACTAAATGTCATTTAAATATTTGCTTAAGGTTTTCTTGTGAGCATAAAATTAAGCAACTACCTTATGCTTAGAAAGTGTTATGAAGAGCATTCTGTTTTGTTATTTAATATATATGCAAAATTCTCTTCAAATACACTTTTTGAGTGAATATAATTTTTCATTCAGGTGGCTTAGGAGTGTTTGTTCATAAAAGCTGTCATTGGTCCATGCACTTCTTATTTGCTGTCTGGTCTTGCTGTTTAAATGATGCAGTAAAACAAAACACAAAAACAGACTGGAAATGAGTAATCCATCCATCCATCCATCCATCCTGACCACGTGTCCTAGTCAGAGTTGCAGTGGGGCCTGCAGCCTACGCAAGGACACATATATGCACATACTCACACAGATAATTTGAAGATTAAAAATCATGCAAAACTTTATTTCACAGAATAATCCTTTATAATATAAGTTCACATGCATGTAAGACAACTGCATTTTTGTACTCAATTTTTTTGTAGTTGAGGAAAAGAAATCTCAGCTCCTGAAGATCACTGCTAAGTGAACATTCTTATCAAAATCAAGCAACAATCTTAGTTTGACAATTCCTGGTCCATTAGTGATGCTGACTTAACACACTCCATTATGAACATGCTACGCTTTCAGTTTAGTCTGTGTGCATGTGTGCGTGTGAGCGAGCATGACATATATACGAAATGAGTCACAAGACCTGATATCAACATTTTTGCCTCTCAACATTCACTGAATACGTAACTACTGTATATAAGACCTACACCCTTCATATAACACACACTCACTCCTGTGTGCCCACACAATCACCAGCCCCTTCTAAGTAACATCTTATTTGCACAATGTACCCATAGGGAGGCTTTTCCTGTTCTCTGCTGTTTCACCTTGGAATCGGTCTCATTTTCAGAAGTTCAGGCTAGTTGACCGAGAACCTTCTTTCCAGATGCATGTGTACATGTTGCTCACCATTGTCTGGACCTTGCGGGCTGTTGGGGGCTTCAGCTCAGGCAAAGTTCAAAACAGCTGTAATACCATGGAACCGCAGCACAAAACCACCGGACAGACATCTCAAGCCCCATTCTCTATCTCCGTGCATCCCACCACTTTCCGGAAAGGTGATGTCATTGCAGGTAATCACCACTGCTGTGTTAAATTCAAGTATAGAATGTACAGTATGGTGGATAATAATATGTAAGTCCCCTTCACAAGCCTTTGTGTTTCAAAGCACTAATTAATCCCAATGCGACCAACAAGCATTCATGAAAAAGGGATTTGAAAGCAGTATTTGAATAATTTTATTTAAAAATTCATTGAATAATTTCATAACTATGTCACATAAAATTAGGAAGTCAGTGCATTTGATGTGGACAGGAAAAAAGTTGTAATGGTAACAATACCGTAGATTTTATTTGTTAAAGTGACACTCCAAGCAGGACCCAACCCGTTCAAGGGCTTCCTCTTACAAGCCCGCAGAGTCGGCCAGACCAAGCCTCTGGGCACTTTCACTGTGAGAAAAAGTGATGCTCAGCTTCTTAACTGCAGTGGGCTTAATGTGAGTACCACACATATATTTAAGTTAATTTCTTATCCAATCTTTTTATGGTGCTTTTCACTGAAAATTCTAGAATGAAATTGCATCTCACACAAAGAACTTTGACATCTGCCATTGCATTCCGGGCTGCAAAGCTAGATTCCCACGCATGTCAGCTTCACAGCCTGTTTGAACTATATTAAATTGCATAGATTCTTTTGGGAAGCCACATCCAGGGTCGTCTTTGCTCTTTGGTGACAATTATTTCCCCACCTGCTGTCTGTTCTGCTCAGAACTCAGCAGTTTCCCATACGTCTGCCTCACTCAAAACATCAGTGACAGCTCTGTGGACGGCTCCTGTGACAGGAAACCTAGGAAACATTACATTCAGGTATTTATGTAGGTGACTAGAAGCTCGTCTGCAAGTCAGCTTCCATGCAGGATTCATGTGAGCTGTTTGGTGTACAATACTGCTTTGAGCGTCATCTGAAAATGCCTGCAATTCAACATACTCAACATTCAAGTTTGCATGTTTGCCATATAACACACAAGTAATCATATTCTGTTTGTCATTAATGCATATTAAAGCTGATAAGGTCTGTTATGATGTTCAGGTAAACTTACATGCTGCTTATGAATGTTCCATAAATGCATAATAAAGGCATTATGAAGGTGCACTGAGTGTTCCACAAATGCATGATGATTGCATTATGAAGGTGCAGTTAATGTAAAGCATTACCTAACAATTTCTAATGATATTTCATGGGATATTGAGGAAATATTTGCTTGTCTTTCTGCTTTTGCCACAGTGCTACCTTTGTTCAAACTGAAAAGGTCTATTGGACTCAAGTCAAAAGTTCTGTGGTTATTTATAATGCTAAACCTCTTCAAAATACAAGCACAACAGCTCCATCTCTTGTAAGTACACTAGCATTCTATAGGTGGACTGACTCTATAGGGGACCTGTTTGAGTAATGTTATTCATAGGTCATTTTTCCAGTTAGTGCTAGCATGGTCAATTGATTACTTGTTAGTCTTTCATATGGCAAATTGTACAACATTTAACAACAGTGTAAGTATCAGCTTTATAGAAAGCAAGCAAAGCAATTACATCAGTATTGTTAAATATCATAGTCATGTTAATCGTTCAGTTCCATATACCAGCATCAATTGTCTTTCATGTGTATAATAAAGCACTAGCTAACTAGTGATTAAGCCTGGGATTGGTCAATGGGATGTCTGTCTCATTCTTGAAATTTTTTAACCCTGTTGCACAAGGAGCAGGTTAGCTTTGTAATCCTGGCAGACTTCTTTTTGCTAGAAAATAGCTTTTGTACAGAAGAACTCTGGCAGATATTAACCTATTCTTAATTATACATTTGGCAGTCACACCTGCAGATTGATGATGTCACCAGGGGCCAATAATATTCATGAGGGTGGTCACACCACTGCTTAGAAAATAAAATGATGTATATTTGATTTTTATTTTTTGATGCACGGTGGCAACAGAGACGGCCGATAACCCCCCACACACACACACACACACAGCCCTTGGAGCCTCTCCAGACCTTTAGACCACAGGACACTGACTTGTTTTATCCAAGGAAAGGCAATGTATTAGGGATAGGAGCTCCATACAGCTCATGGTGCTGAACCTGCAGTGTCCAGGTTTAGGAGAAACATCACAGCCCAGGATTTCGACTGCTCTCCCCTCCCTTCCTTCAGCAGGAGCCACGACTGTAACAGTGGCAGAAGGAGCTTTTGCTTCTCTGAGATCTGACAGGAAATGGCTGTGAGAGACACAGCTACCATTAGTAAGAGTAGAAGAACCAGGAATGAAAAAATATGCACTTCTGTGCAAAAGATGATCTTTAAATGACCCCCTCGTTGGTGTAATGCTGTGACGCCTGTCAGTCTGTCAGCTTAGCCATTTCAAAACCTCCTAAAATCACCCCATTATTTGCAGTAACCATCCAAATATACCCATTTACTCCACCACATACCATATTTGGCTAAACATTACCTCATATAATTATTTAAATAATTACCTTACTTAATGAGCAGGTAGTGAAATTTAACATATACCCGGAGTGGCTGGGCTTCCCTAGAAGAGAGGTTTGAGAGCCAAAATAATCTTCTGCTGGTCATTCTTGTTGTTTTTTTTATTGTGATACTGTTCATTTGCAAATATTCAAATGTTAAATTCTGTGTTTTTTCTGAGAAATACACTTCCTATGTTGATAAACAGCTCAAAACATTTTCATTGCACTTTACTTTGTATATTATGACCCTTCCTGGGAAACATTCATTCATTCATTTGTTCATACCACTTGTCCTATGCAGAGTTGCAGGAGGAGATATTTTAATTGGTTAATATTGCTTCTTTTTTATAGATAACCATATCTAGCAATGGCTGTGGAGCCAGCAAGGTCTGCCTGAGTCAGCCAGATAACTGTAACCCCGCCACCAGTTCCAGCTGCTACTTCATGTCTGTAGTGATGTCATCCAACAGTTCAGACCTTCATATGGAAATATCTGGCCCATCGGACGGTTATGTCTCCATTGGATTTTCTTACGATCTGTTTATGGTAATGCTCTTTCTCAAATCAAATATGTGATGTTTTATTTTGCTAAAACATATTTGGTTTTTGCCAAGTACTCGCCTGCTCAAGATAAAATCTGCACAGGGTGGATTTATTTCCAGTTGCAATTCTAGATGCAGGTATCTGTGTTTGCATTTATGTATATTGTCCAAATTGTATTTACCAGTAAGAAGGCAGCTGTACTCCTGCTTACAAACACAAGGGAGATGGACCCAAATATTCATTCATTAGTCCATATGACAAACTTTGTACAATCTACAGTATCCCATTCATTTTCTACAACCACTTGTCCTATTCATTGTCGTGGGGGAGGGGGCAAAGCCTATGGGCACAAGGCAGGGAACAGCAAGCCATCACAGGGCACAGTCACACGCCATTCACGCTTATGGGACATTTGGTAACTCCAATTAACCTCAGCAAGTTCTTAGACTGTGGATGGAAACTAACACACTCAGAGAAAACCCTACTATGAGATGCAGAGAACATGCAAACTCCACACACATAGAGCCATAGCAGAGACTCGAACGCAGGTCTCAGAGGCGGGAAGCAACAGTCCCAACCACTGCATCATCTCACTTTGCACAACTTAAGGCATAAATGGTTACAAGCAGTTAGACTCAATATTTTGAATGTTACTGTATATGCATGCACGCATTCACTTTAGTTCCATGCTCCTGCTTTATTTATTACCATTGATACACGCTCTGGGTTGCGTTTATAAAGACTTAATCCCAATCCCCTTGTCTTGTTTAGCCCTATAATTCACTACTTTTGAAACTATTGTGAATCCCTCCATTTGTCATTTGCTGTTTGTGCATCACACCTAGGGGACTTCATGCCACTATATAGCTGTATATGAATGCTATGACAATAAAGCCAACCGGACACATACTGTACTGCATGCATGTATAATACTTTGATGCTGACCTGACGTATATCTTCAGAGAAATCGTATCACTTTATATAATCACTTTATATAATATTATTATATTATTTATATATTTTGTCTTTTTTTCCAGGGAAATGATGATATTTATATTTGCATTTACAATCAAGGACAAGTTCAAGTGCAACGTGCCCATTCCACAGGGATGAAAACCCCAGATATCATAGCCCAGGTACTGTAGTCATATTATTCCTACTTTATAGTGCTTTTTGACAGTCTGAAGTAGAACTAACAGCTAGATAATCAGAACTGTTCCACAGAAGTGGTTCCACTGAATGTGTATTAATAGTGGGTTTGCCAATAATATAAATGGTAAATATATAATCCTTGGGCCAATAATACCCATTAATTCACTCAGCACTATTTCAATCAAACCATTCATTCATTCATTCACCTGCTATCTACTGTATAAAATACTTTTGTTAAAAAAAAATTTGATTTTCTTTCTAGTACAAATGGAAAGGAATTGTTTGTTTTATCTCTGCACAGAACATTTCTGACATAAGCGTGTCTTATGCCAATGGAGTCATCAGCTGCACCTTTACTTCCCACGACCCCATCTCCTTTTATAGAAGCTCCACACCGACCACCTCCTCCTATCTCTTCTACGCCTATGGACCCGTTAGCGGTAGACATCAACTTCAGCAGCATATTTACTTCAGTGATTGGTTTTGTTGTGATTTCTTATGTGCAGTTTCCTCTCATTTCTCATTTTGGTCCATTGATCTCAGGAGGCTTAATCCAGCACCATAAAGATAAATTCACAAGAAAAGGCAGAGTTCAGCTTACACCGTCTGTTACGGGGACAGTGGATGATCTTCGTCCTGCCAAAGCACACGGTAATTTTATTTTTTTCAAAAATGGCTTTTTTTATTCATTATTGGTCATCAGAAATAGCAATAAGCTACTACTTAGTAATTATTATTCATTAATAATAATTAGTAATATTATTCATTAATTGTAATTAGTATACTATCCATGTATTCCTGCATCCAGATTTGCATGATGACAAGAGCAGAGGAAATGACCGTACCATGAAACGCTTGTGTAAATGTCTAATGTTGTTTTACCTGGTATTTCACATACTGGGCCATGTATACTGTCATATATATCTATCGCTAATGTCACCCTGGGCCCCCTCAGTACATTTACTACATTTTGTCCAGCAGGACACCCCTAACAGTAGATTCTGGGGCCCCAATACAGTGCTGGGTCCCCTGAGTCTCCCAAGGAATCCACGTTCCTGCAACACCCCTGTATCTATAAATATTCAATAATGATCAGAATTTTTCCCTTGTAGGTTCATTAATGCTGATAGCTTGGATGACCACTGGGAGTCTGGGCATGATCATTGCAAGATACCTTAAAAGAGCCACCAAAGGGAGAGGCTACTGGAACAGAGACCTTTGGTTTTTGGTAAGTTACTTTCTGTGCTTTAACACCTCCAGGGTTGGGGATTCAGACCCTGCCTCCAGCTCTCTGGGTGTACAGGTGTTACTAGGCTGGGGAATAAGGGGCTGAAGCCCTAAATTAATTGTTTAGCTCAGATGTTATAACAAGCATGCTCTCAGTTTGTGGGATGTCTTAAGATCTTAGCTACGCACCTGAATATTGCAAGGGTTTCTTCAGGGTCACCCCACAATCCAGTGACATACAGTTCAGGCAAACTGGTGTCTTTAACTTGCCCATAGTGTGCGTGAACATGTGTGCGCCCTGCAACGGACTGGTCAATGTGCATCTCCTCCAGGGAGGCCCACAGGATGGACCATCAGGCTCACATTGACCTTGGACTGGATAAGGGAGATGGGTGGATTTGAGGTGGAAAGTTCAGGTCCAGAAAGTACAAATCCAGACCAAGGTTTTGTATAAACCAGCCAGTTGAGTACCTGGTGAGTGTGACTCTTTATATGGTTTGAACAAAACCTTGGTTTGGATTTGTACTTTCTGGACCTGAAATTTCCACCTCTATGGTTATATAATACAGTGGTACCTCAGTTCTCAAACTCATTAGAACTCGAATTTTTTAAAAGTCGAACCAACCAGTTCAAAAAAAAATTAGCTAGAACTCGATCTGAATCTCAGAAGTCAGAACGCCGACCTAAGATAACTTGTATGCGTGGGGAAATGAGTCACGCGGCACGTCTCTCACTGGAAACAAAGGGTAACGCTTCAGTCTCAGCCTCGCATTCGCTGTGATAGCATCGTGCATGTTTACACTAGCTGAATACATATATTTAGACTTTAAAAATACATTCAGACAATGATAGACAGTAACAGTAATTATTATTATATAATAAAATAAATTTAAAAATAAAGATTTCTTATTAATTTGAAGTTTGGAGTTTATTTGAAGTTTTTTTTTTTATTATTTGAAGTTGGATTTGGATTTTAATATTAATAATAAACCATTAATATGTTTAATTATAATAATATCGTTGTGCCAAGCAGGGGCGGAACGGAGACAAAGGTGCAGACGTCAGGGTATCGGGGAATACGGGGTTTAATTACAGGTAAGGCAGGCAAAACACAGATGGACAATACAATGACCGGACTGGGGAAACAAACTGAAACGCGGACTAAATACAGAGGACTAATGACAACAACCAGAAACAGCTGATCACACAGGGATTCCACACAGAGTTAATGAGGGGGCGTGGCACACGGAAGGAGCGGAGGATCAGGGCAGGACACATTGTTTTTTTTAACTTTACACATTGTTTGGATACATTTATTTTCTTACTTTTCAAATTACTGTTTTGATAAATGTGCTTAGATGTGTTTAGTACAGTATATGCTCTTTTTGTTTTATTCGGTTCATTTTGTGTTTAAATGCTAAAAAAACATATTTAGGTGTAATTTTTTGGGCCGGGAACCAATTAATTGGTTTTCCATTATTTCTTATGGGGAAAATTCGATCACAACTTGAACTTTTTAGGATTCGATCCGGAGTTCTGAACGGATTAAATTCGAGTTCTAAGGTACAACTGTATATTTATCCATATATTCATCCATCCATCCATTTGTTTGTTTGTTTGTTTGTTTGTTTAACATGCTCTGGATAGGTTTATGGTGGTAACAAACCACAAAAGCTGAGTTTTTACCATAGAAATATAGCTGTGGATATCCAGGGTGCAGGGACATTTACCCTCCAGTCTTTTGAACTTGTTAAACACCAGATTACAAACTTCACTTATGGAGCACTAAGTGACAATGAAAACCAGTGTCTTTGACATGTATATATTCACACCTCAGAGATGTCGTCATTACTCTGACTCAAGTCATGGTCCATTTAGTGTTATTTAATGTCAAACCCCATGTGACACTGTACTGTCTTTTACCCTCCCCAGGCACATGTGGGCCTTTTGTCCTTGTCTTACATTCTTACCATCATTGCCTTTATCTTGATCTTTGCAAATGCAGGGGACTGGTTTGACGTGAGTATGACTTGTGACTTTTGCTAGTCACGTATAATGATATGCTGAGAAAAGCCTTTATTTTCTTTGAGTTGGCAGTTGTGCAGCACAGTAAATAAGATGTTTTTCTTTCAATTTGGAGACAATTTACCGTGAATTTCCAAATAATCTTGGTGCAGAAGAATGAGGCCACCACATATGATAATGACTCTTGTTAATACTAAAAATAAAATGCTTGTGTTACATTTAAACTCTTCCATTGCTATTATAAGATGCACTTGCTGCCTTTTAATCTGTTTTTGTATTCTTAATAGAAATTAGTACTATTGTGCATAGTAGGGAACACTGATCATTATCTTGTATTCTTTATGTTTTCTATTACCAGAACCCACATTCAGTTCTGGGCTGTTTAGTCATGATTCTGACCTTCTTCCAACCAATTGTGGCTATTTTCCGATGCCAGCCCAGTCACAAGTGGTGAGTGGATGTTAATATTAATTTTTATATTATTGTTGTATATTATTATACAGACCCAGTAGGATAAGCGAGTTCGAAAATGGATGGATGAATGGATTATTACACAGTACTTTTCAAGTACAGCACTGTGTCTTATGCAGCCTAAAGAAAAGTTAAAAGCTATTTATTTGAGTAGTAGGAGTGTATGTGCTCAGAACAAAAAACACAATTTAACATTAGAACCTATGAAAAGTAACATAGTAACATAACAAAAACTAACAAGAATTCCCCGCGTTCTCCAAAAATTTACTGACATCTTGCTGGATGGTTAGATGATCCACTCCATGTATTTGTTAAATTTCAACACCGGCTTACTTAATTAATTAATATCATTATTTTCAAAAGGTCAGAGATTAGCCATATGAGGTGGGGTTAGTCGTCGACTCAAAAACAACATGGGTGTATTGGAAGATTGTGGCAAATACTGGGGTGACTTCAGGAGAGGTTTTGAAATGGCGAAGCTGACTCACTTTGACAGACATAATATCATAGTTTTGCACCAACGTGAAGATCATTTGAACTTTACTTTTTCAGACTGCTTAAAACTTTTGCACAGTGCTGTATTTTAATGCAATATAAAGGTATTTATAGTGTGTTACAGATGAGAGCTTCATAAGCTCAAAATGCATAACACACATGGGTATAATGTTATGCCTTTTGATAAATATTTATAATCATGTTTATAATGGTTTATGAATGCATTATTATTTGTTATGAATGTATTCATAAATTACAAAAATATGGCCTTGAGTAAAGTGTTACAAAATTCCTATTTCACAACATCTTCCATTTGATGTTTATCACAGGAGGTACATTTTCAACTGGATACATGCTTTGAATGGCCTGACAATTAAAGGCTTGGCAGGTAAAAAAAAAAAATTATAAAATGTTCCTGGCTAGTTAGTGCATGGTAGCTATTTAACGGAAGATAATCATGACGTAGGTAAAAAATTTTCACTGGAAAATTACAATGATTGCACAATATTAATGCTGCAAAAAGCTTTTTGAAAGGCTGGTACAACAATGGGTTCGTGAACATTTCACAAAATATTGGGCTAAAGTTTTCTAAGTAATGTGACATTTTCCTGGCATCTGAAACTCTACTGGTAAACTGGGCCTGCCTCACCCTTGGCCCTGTGACGTCACTCCTTCCCCACCCTTGGCCCTGTGACGTCACTTCTGCACGCGCTGCTGCTGAACCACAATGTTCTTCCTACCATCAGAAGCAGAAACAGCACCTGTGTGCCATCATTTTGCTCCTCTGATTTCCTCTGCCGGTCCTTGGAGAATGGGCTCCCCCTTTGAGTCCGTTTCCTCCTAAGATTTCTTCCTTGTAGGGAATTTTTCCTTGCCATTGTTGGCTTCCTCACTGGGGCCCTTGGGTGGGGATAATGTAAAGCGCTTTCAGGCAATGCAATGTCGTGAAAATGCGCTATACAAATAAAATCGAATTGGATTTATTTGAAATGAGAAAAATGAGTTTAGTGCTGAATCATGGTCTCTTGTTTTCAGTGGGTGCCATATTTACTGGCCTACAACTGGTGGACACATCGCCAAACCAGTGGCTCCCCAAAGTGATGGGAGGCTTTGTTGGCTGGGAGGCTTTGTTCTTCCTGCTCTTTGACTTCTATGCTCAGTGGAGCAAAAACA